CGATTTTTTGTTTGTTTACGCCATTTGCTCCTTACTGTTTAACAATATGGCCAACTCCCAGCAATGGCGACATTCTTGAATTATTTTATATTCACTTGGGTGAGCAGCTCTATGGGTGAGCTGGCCAAATGCAGAAAAGAAAAGAAAAGGTGAAATTATCGGAATCGTTCTTTTGCCGGCGCAGCCCCCCCCACTTTTTAGCGTCATGACCCGCCCCTAAAAGGGTCAGACAAAATGGCATTAAATGGTTTTGAACTTGTTGAAGTACCGCCTAGGCTATATGTGTTGGGAGAGAGTGTACCCAAAAATACATATAGAGTCCGCCCCACTTGAGTACATAGGAAAGGGCGCGCAGTGACGGTTGTTGCAACTATAGGCTTAGTTCTAGTACTTTTGTTCCCGGTCGTCAGAGAGCATTGCCATAAAAAAAATTGTTGATATTTACCCAACTGCATGAAGACCATGATTTTGGAAATTTCGGAGTTGTGAAGTGAAGCTTGAGGAAACTGAAGATCGGAAGCCTGCGTCTCCATCTTGTCTCTCAACATTTCTGACATCTTCATGATTTCCTTCCGACGCGGATACAGCCAAAGGTGTTGTATTTACACCGAAGCGGCGGGTAAGACATTTGAGAGCGCCTGTCATGTGCTTCTGAAAAGATGTAAACGAGCCGACCGTCGCACCAGCAGGGCTGCACCATCATTCCTTGCAATTGGCATAAAATAATCATATGGCCATTGCAAATTGACATGAATTGGATATTTGTACATTCCACACGCACAAAGATGGAAATGTGGTCCACATTGTAATGTTTTGTAAAAGTGGATACACACAACAAAACGTATAAACCGCGGCCCGCTGGTCCTGTCAAAAGCGCCTTTGAAAACTTAAATAACTTGGGGCGCCTCACGCGGATAGAGCGCCCCCAAGAGTCTACCGGCATTCAAGAGTTTTTTGTTGCCGGCCCGATTTGGCTTCGCGCGTGCCTGCCTGTAGCCGGTTGCAATTTGCCACTGTCAGGCGCGGATTCGGAGGGGGTCCCCTCTGCGCTGTCAAAACAAAAAAACAAAATACATAGAAATTATGATAAAACATGTGAAAGTCCCCCCCCCCTGCTTTGACACCCCAATTTTTTTTAATGGTAATACATGTCCGCCTTTGCACAAAATACGGACAGAGCCAGCTCAGTACTGTGGCGCACCCAGGATTTCGGTTTGGGGGGGGGGGGCTTAATTTATTTATTTATTTATTTTATTATTTTTTTTGGTTAAAAGTTGAATTTTTTTCAAAAAAAATGGCCCAAAATTTTTGGCGGCAGAAAAACATTGGGGTTTGTTTTAGGGGTGCTGCTCAATCAAATGGAATCGAATGCTCTGGTAGCGAAAATGAAACGCGTGTTCCGAACAATTCTCAAATTCAGACGAAAATGAATGACCGATTTTCAGAAGTGAATGAACATTTTAGGAAATTGGCCGGGAAAACCTATAATATTTATTTACATCGTACTTAGAAATATACTTAGAAATATCTTCCAATGAATAAATCATCGTCTTTTTTACTCGCAGTGGAAACAAGTCAAGTTACCCCACGTGCGCTTTTACCCCAGTTTGCCCCTAATAACCTAAACGTCCGTTTTCTTCCGGTTAACTGGATCCAATTGTTCCTTAAAATCAACTTGTACAAAGAGGATGACATGTAACTGTTAACACTGAATAGTTTATTCTCGAGCACCTCACGATATTAATACAAATTAACCGACCAAATTTTTTGAAACACGTGGGCAGTCATGTGTCGGTTTGTTTAAGTGGTAGTTTCCATAATTAATATGAAATTGTATTAAAAACACGGATTGTTCATAATTCATCCAACCTTTGGAATATTTCAATCAAAGCTATCATTTAGGCTTGCAATTACCTAAAAAGGAAAACACCACATTATATAAGCTGCAGCGCTTTGGAACACTTGCAATATAAATAAGTAAATACAAAAATACATGCTGAAATGTATACAAACAACGTCATCTCAAATAGTCAAATGTAACAACAAAATATGTCGGGAAAACTGGCAATGAAAATTTGGTGCAGCCCAATTAGATTCCATGAGGTTTTAAGTAAAAAGCCTTAAATGTTGACACTTAAAACATGTTGCGTCCCATATATTACCTTACTGGCACAAACCGAACAGAGCGGCAAATCTATGGCAGCCATTCAACAGATTAGATAACATAACCAATTATTGGTTGAAATAACCAATTTGATAATACAATGTATGTGTTCAACCAATCGATTGGTTGGACACGTATTAACCAAGTGTTGGTTATTGCAACCAATGATTGGTTATGTTAAACAATGTTGTTTTTAGAGTATACAACATCAAAAAAATCAGTTACACACAAAAAACAGTTTCAATACTTGTAAATATTTTGGCAAATTTCTTTTGAATGAACCTTGTAGCCTACGGCCTCATTGGAGTGAAAATAAAGCATTCCAAAGATAACCAACAGTGTTTCAATTACTTCAAGTACCCTGAGTTCACTTTCTAGACATCCTTAAAGCCAATTTTGATATTGAGGGAATAAATTCTTAGTTTTCTAGCTTTTAGAGACCTGTTTGAAATGAAAGAAGTGTACAGATCAATGTTAAAATGATTTTTTTCTTCCAATTTTGTTCAAATAAAAAAATACCCGTCAACCCAAGAAAAGGTTTGTTTATGAAAAAAAAAACAATCAAAAAAGAAAAGAACTCAAACATGGATGATTTCGAATGTACTGATTGGAATGTTTTATAGAAAAGCAATGCTAAACCATAAACACGAGGTAGAAGTTGAATGCTAGGAAGCAACATAATCTTTAACATGCACCACTTTCTCATTACAATGACAGGGCATTGAGAAATTTCTACAATTATCTGTGTTACATGTAGTTTGTACCACAAAACTGATAATGTTTCCATGCATTTCAAATAACATGATTTCATTTCAAAAGACACGATTGCATGTCAAGAGTTAACAAAGATAATTGCCTTCATGTAGATTATGACCAGGAAAACCATACTGAAATTCTACAAAATTGAGCTCTGATAAACTTCCAACACGTTTGTAAATATGAACATGTAATCAATTGCCAAATTTACCTCATTCACTTATGTAGTGTTTAGTATTTTTCGTTCTAGGAGACATATTGTCACAGAAGACGAAGACTTGCCATTGTTTACTGCAATCAAATTTCAAATTTTGCTACTGCATTTGCCCAAGTAAGTAATGTATCAAACTTAAACATGTTCCTGCACATATATACACACAACAACTTTAACCTTTAATTCGATTTAGTAAACAATAAGTATGAGTAAATTGTTACACACATATCATTGCAGAATGTATATATAAATAATACTGATACCAGCCAATAACTGACAAAGTACTGTACAAAACCTAATTCAATATTGCTTTTGGAACTTTTGTACCCTGCAATCTTTCATAAAAGCTCTCTTTAAGGAAATGCTTCGATGCAACTTGGTGTGTCCTGCACTGCAAAGCATTTTCTAATAATGCTGTCGCTATACCGGTAATACACTTGATTCAATCCTTACAATGTAAGAATTTGGGATAGTTTACCAGTCTGCTTAAAAAAAAAGTCATTAAGCTGACAAATTCAACGAAAGTATGTGATTTTATTCTTTTCTTTTGACCATCTTTCAATAACTTTAGGGAGTATTTCAATTTTGGAATGTATTACCTGGAATACCATCTGTTGTAATTTGGAATGCACACTGTTGCCAAAGGGATTTGCATTCATGTTTGCATTTGAATGAATTGGCCTGTACTTAAATGACATAATGATATATTGCTTACATGCATGTACATGTACATCAATATGGATATATGGCAGAGGAGCAGGATGAGGAGGAGGAAGGGCTAAGGGGAGGAAGAAGAAGAGAAGCAAGGCAACACTCCTGCTACTATACGATTTAAGAACATTCCTTCTGGGAGTGGGTCACCCCATTTGTTGGCTGCCCTCAAGGCAAAAGAGCATAACTTGAATTTTTTGAACTTGTTGGGTTATAGACCTTTATCATGCTGCCACCATTTCAGTCATGTTCCCTGCATCCATAACAGTACTGAGTGTGAAAAAAGAAACCAGACTATTGTTACTTCCAGCCTCGCTTTGGTTACGTTGATTTAAATAAGAAAAAATCATGATGGCTGCAACATAATGGTCTATTGGGTGGGAAAGAGTTCCATACCTGGACATCACTCGACACCCTGTGCACAAAACCTAGTATGAGACTGGTCTGAATACCGATTTCCTGTTTGCTTGCTTATTTATGCCAACTTTCGAGTAAATATACTTATGCACCTAATGATCTAAAAATTGATCCCCTTTGTAACTGCACATTGCTCTGCTTTTAACAAACTTAATAATTTTATGCAATTACATTTACATGTATGTTGATGCTATGATGGTACTTTGCTGTTTTCATGCTTGCTATGATAAACACTTACTGTTTATGTTAAGACACTGTAGACACTTCGATGTACATAAATGTATATTGGTTATTAGTAATATATTTCGTTATGAGAATATACTTTGTTATAATACATACCACTGTATAGTTTCTAACAATGTGAGTGGTAGTTGCCTGTAATAATACCTAAATGGCAAGAACTGTCTGTACATATAGTCATTACATTAGAACTAGCCATTAAGTCACGCCCACTGAACATGTTGGCAACAAAATAATAAATCATTATATGTGAAGCGATCAAGCTACATGAGTCGTTTGTTACAGATTTGAAAAGAGCACAACCTCAGCATTACTGCTGTGAAAACCGCATGCTGATACCATCTTTAGTTCAAAAATTATGGAAGTGGGAACACCAAGGGATGTGATGAAGTGATGTGATGAAGTGGCCCTATTTTGGCCTGTATCTCCAAATACAAATTCCCGACAAACGACTCCTTTAGCTTGATCGCATCACATATGCATGTTATACAATTGTTATCTGCTGTGATGTAGTCCATGGTGTTTCGTACACCTGAGGGGTGCGCTTCGCCTTGGGTATTATTCCAGACTTTCTTTTTGATACCTTTATACATAACGGACTGACCCACCACATCAGCAAGGCACAGGAAGTTGGCCTGGCTCATTGTTCTTCTAGTAACGACTTTGCCAACATGTGTCTTGTATATTAAAGTTGTCCTGTATACTGTACTCTTGCCTGATATCTCTCCATTATTTCTAACAGGGTCACCAACTAACATGACCTGAGTGTGTGTCATTTATGGCACTGGTGTAACATTTAGAGGAACATGAGGGATTGGCAAGTCTGACAACTCTTACAGAAGACAAGACGAAATGTGCCTATCCAGTGAAGCAAACTAAGACTAGATGAGCCAGTAAGTCGACTGGACGTGGCAGACAAAGGTGTACCATCAAAGAGTGAGGAAGGATCACCTCAACAGAGATTGACTCAAGTGACGTCACCAATCATCTGGCTGTCTAACAAAGGACCAACATTGAAGTGCTGGGATTCTTGAGCAAGTTACTACCATCCTACAGTTTTTCCAACTATGCGAGAATTTAGGGGTGGAGTCATGAGATACGGGGAGAATGTCTGAGGCTGGTTGAGATGGCGATACACCACATGAACAGTGAGCACATCCAAGACAGTGACAATGAAGGGTTTTTGCTACTCCAGAGCCTGGACCAATGCATCAGAGGCTGTGATTACTGGTGAAAAGACCACGGGCTGGGATTATGGGGCAGTCCACTGTTTTTCTTGGACCATGCAAAGCTGCCCTCTTCTAGTGAAAATAATACTGTTTGGTTAGGGCACTCATGCGCCATTGAATAACAAAATGCTCAGGTACTTTCCTCTCGCATGATGTATGTTGGACATCTGTGGTAATGTGGTCGTTCACACTGGCTTGAAAACTACAAACAAGCACAGCCGTGCTACATGCACTCACTTGATTATCAGTAGGTAACCAGACAACATATGTCAGTATTCTGCAGTACAAGCATCAAGCCGACACACAGTACCATTCTTGTGTCATATTGGGTCTGCAGTCAATGCTGTGTTTTTGATAGATTTGCCGTCACGTCATTTAATAAATAATATTGTTACTTGCACCTCGATCTTAAACATCTTATTAAAATACAATTCATGAAAACCTTTAATCAATCTCTGGAGCCTTATGAGTTATAGGTATCTTACAGCTAGTCTTCTCCGCTTCGTGACATCACTTCCTGTGAAACTTTCTTGAGCAGAGCCACTACATCATCATGACCTAAAAATCAAGCAAACACACAGGATAGACTGCGTTACTTATTAGCAGACAAGTTCAACGGAGTTTAATTCATGTAGGGCAACACACACACATACAAACGCAGGCCTGCCTTACATACCTACTGTGGACATTCCTTTGTATTCATGTAGTTAAGAAAAACCGGAGGAAAAAAACTCACTTTACTCACACTATGAAAACTATTTCAACCCAAATTTTATCATGATTTCCGTGAGTGTTCCTCTTCATTTTGCGACAAATAACCCTAACCTCAAAACGCCTCTAAACCTGTTTTCCAGAGAGGGGGGAACCCTTGTGTGGAACTGGATTAGTCCACAGAAGGTTAAGACAACGTGCATCATGTGGACCTGTTTTGTTTTCTGGTCCTCACAAAGATGGCAAGGTTGGCACACTTTTTCCTTCGACTTTAAGTACATAGATCTTAAGCTGCACCATAGAGCTATATTGAACTACTAGAGCGCTAACTCGCCATTCTGCGCGCGGAGACGCTTTGAAGCCGTCCGGGGCGCAGACATTTTGAATTCATGTGCGTGTTTGTAGAACATAATGAAATTAGATGGATTGAATTTTGAAAGTGTACTCTACATGCAACGCGCAAGTAGAACATACGCAAACAACTTCAGCACGTCATTGACAGTTCAAAAAAACCATACGGCAAAAAGCATCTGCAGTGAATACGCGCACGCGTTGCGCTGTTTGCGTAGAGCAAAGTTACGAGCTCATTTGCTGATCGTGCGTTTCGGTTTTGGGAGTATTGGCTTCGATAACGCACCGGTATGAAATACAAACGCAGATATGCAAATAGCCGTTAAAAAAGCCATACAAAATTTCTAGGTCTCCATAGGTTTGTGCACAAACATGGATGCGCCCAGCAGGCATTACTTTGTACACGAAGTTAGCGCTCTAGTAATTTAATATAGCTCTATGAGCTGCACTGATGCTTTACCAAGACCCCTGATGAAGATCTTGTAAAGACCGCAACATCAGGCCAGCAAATTTTGTTGATTTGTAACTTTCGGGTCAATCCGGTCAGTAAGCAGTTTGCAGCAGTTTTATTCATTTACATATAACTTCATGAAATATAACAATGTCCACTCCTACCTAGCTATTCCATGCTAACATTATCTAAATTGTACTCAAATGGGATGAGCAACAATGCTGCATAAAAATTCTCGGTTTCTTTATCAACAGTGGTTTGTGTTATAAGGTCCTGAATGCAGTAGCCTGAAACAAACCACTTTTCAGTTTTCGAGAAATAATTTCCTCACCTCTCTCTCTTGCCCAGGTGAGACATGTCTGTTTTTTATTGTGGCTGGTGATGACGTCATCATGACAGGCTAAATCCAGGTTTGCTCCGCAGTCAATCAGCAACTGCACAACTGGTGTATGGCCATGGTAGCATGCACTGTGTAATGCTGAATGACGAAAAAAGGTAACAAATGCTGCTTAAACAGGAACATGTATTTTTTTTTTAAACCATACGTGCATTTAAAACTATGGGGATTGGGATATTGCACATTGTACAGTAGTAACTGTTCCCCTTACATAACATGCAGTAATGTTTAAAGGGAATGTACATCATTGGCTTTTGCTGTAATTTTCAGAAATGAACTATTTGAGGGGTTAGTATAATAGATCAAATATTGTTACACTGACATGTTTAAAGTTTCGTGTTCGAAAATGCTGGAAAAACCAAGAAAAACCAAAATATTCAAGTAGTCTGGTTCCTTGACTCCACTAAAGATAAAATGGACCAATTTATAGATGCCGGAAAATTGTAAGGTAAGGGAACCAGTCTAGCTGGCCTGCACCCGTTCATGAACATGTAACCAATAGCAAACAAAATTTGGACTGAAAAAAAGTGTAAAGTTGGAGCAGTAATCGAAAAATAGTTAGGTTTTTCCAACGGCGGCCGACCACCGTTGGAAATGTATACAAAAATACCATTTTCTTGAAAATGACTTCACACCAGGTGCCATAATTTTACAGGATGCTATAGACTGTCATTTACCAACATCCTAGTAAGGTATTTCAGAAAAACTTGGTAGTTTTATTTTTCGATGTTTGCAAATGTTGTATATTCCCTTTAATTATGTATAAATGTATACATACCCTTGAGTACAAGGAACAGTGTTTTCTACATTCCTCCCTCCCCCAATATTTAACCAAAAAACCTAACATTTTGTATTGTGCTCTTTTTTTTATCACCTTGCCCTGTTTTTCATGGGCGCCCTTTTTTTAACTAGTGCTCTTTTTTGGAACGTCGCGCGAAAATTGGCAATCGTGCTGCCATGAGAGAGCGTTACCTATTGTCCGTTATAGTGCCCATGATAGTCTACTTTGAATAGTCCCCCTCCCCCCACTTTTTTAATTTTACGGGGGCCGGGTGAGCGGTAAAAAAAAAACCTGTCTGCCTTTCAGCACGGATGAGGCGAGTGCCCTTTTTCACGTCTACCCCCCCCCCCTCCAAATAAAAATTACCTTGCTACGCCTCTGGTTTCCCACGACAAAAATTGACAAATAAACAATGACTACACAGCAGTCATTGCATGCACAGTCATATATTATAGACAGACATACAAAAAGACGGACAGACAAGCAGACACTAACCCGTGTGCCCATCTCTCCCCTGTTGGTTGACATCCACTCCTGGCTGCTCCAGTAGGAACCTCACCAAGTCCAGATTCTTGCCATAGGTGCAAGCACTGTAGCAACGAAAGTCAATTTACACGGTGAGTCAAAAAAAAAGTGGTACCCAAACCCCCCAAAAATATATTTCATAATTAAACAAATCTGTAGCACCAAACATAATACTGACTGGAAAGCCAATTTCATAAGCTACTTCTAGAAGGAAAAATACTGAAATTGCTCAATCCGTTCCAAGAACATCACCATTTAAATGCAATGACCCTAAAACCTGTTTCATAAAAAAAAACAGTTTAGTGTGTATTCTGACTGTTTGGAACAACAAAGAAAATGACACACAATACTTGTTTCAACAACTGTCAACAACTATACTACACAATATCTTTATTAACAGCCCTGGTTAGGCAAACAATATGATTTATAAAATCCACTTTTTTTTTAAAGACGGGCCTTCAAAAGGACTTGGTTGAATATTTTGAACTTTTAAACTGAGGTCTTATCGCTGGTGATGTTTGAAGACAATTGTGAAGACGATTCTTGAAATCGCATCTTTGGACGAAAGAGTTTAACCTTTTAGGGTCATTGTGTTTAAATGGTGATATTCTTTGAACGGATTGAGCAATTTCAGTAATTTTTCCATCTAAAAGTAGCATATGAAATTGGCTTTCCAGACATTATTATGCTTGGTGCTACACATTTTTTTAAATATGAAATATACGGTAATTGTTGGGCTTGGGTTCAGCTTTTTTTGACTCACCCTGTATATCACATACTTGTTTATGAATTTCCTTCTAAATTTATGGACCTGGTTTGAGGCAACATTTGTTAAATACTGCAAGGAGTACTCATCCACTTCGACCTCGACTTCACACACAGGCAATTCCGTAAAATCCAATCCACTGCATACGCCAAACCATATGATAACAAGGTTGTTAATGCAGTGGTACCTTAGTTGGGTCTGTAATTGTTAGTGACTGTACATGTATCACATTAACTTTTCCAACAGCAGCTCATGAAAGTTTCTGACGTGTATTTACGGAATTGCCCACAGACATGCCGGCTGAATGAAAATCATGTCACGAGTGCTGACTTAGGCACTTCACACAACTGGGTGCGATTCACAATATATGATTCATTTGAAAGTGCTAGCAGTTATAAAAGTGCTCAACAAAATCCATTAACGTGCCCAAGACCAAGAAAGTTGCGCATGGATTTTGTCCAGTCTGCGGCTACAGTGCATGTGTTCTTGGGCAAGGCACTTTGTCACTCATTGTTTCTCTTCACCCAGGAGCAAATGGGTACCTGTGAGGGCAGAGATGGTTATTGTGGTTGATTTAGCTGCTTTGCGCCGAAATGGCAGCATTGAGCTGTATATTTCCCAGGGAGCTGAGATTCTATTTGGAATGTTTCATTGGTATAATGAGCAGGGTAATAATAAGCGCCTTGTACCCGTTGGCAATTTGGCGCTCTATAAGTCCAGTTATTATTATTGTCATCATTATTTTGTCAATCCACTGAGTTGAAACTTAATAGCAGAATAGTTGTTGCACATAAGATTGTGAGTAATTTTCTTGCTTCCAATGAAAAAAAATGCATGAAATGTAATGAGCTTATGAACTTTTAATGGCAAATAATTATGGCGGCTCAATGTTCACCTCTTTGCAAGACACTGACCTGTGAAGTGGTGTTTCACTGAAGATATTTTCCATGGCCAGACACTCCTGGCCTAGTCTCAATACAAGCTCCTTGGCAACATTGAGTCTACCATGGTAACAGGCTCTGCATACAAGAAGCACAAACAGTTGAATTGACAACAGTGAAGCATTTGAAATATGTTGTTCAGAAGAAAAGACCCTCCCTGCCTGTTGATCTAACGTTGCGCATTAACCACTTAGGCCCAAAAAAAGGCTTCGGCTTCTGGTACGGGGTTTACCCCAAAAGTGGTGCGGCTTTTTTTCCCTCTACTTTTTTCCTACTTCAAAATGTCAGCTGATGTTGCAGATGACGCTTTGATCCCCTTAAAACTCTCAAAAATATCCTTCAGAGTGGAGCTTGAGGTGACCTCAGTATTAAAAAGGCCATAAGGCTTGAGAAGTCTGCACCCAATTACGATCTCAACCGACACAAAAACTCTTCAGGAAATTTGGATAGTCAAGACAAAAATCAGAGAAAACGGTAACGTCAGACCATTCGGCAACATCGACATCGTGCATGAGCTGCCAGGCTTATGCTGCCAGGCTGGTCATTAGTCTGCTCCCATACGTATTGCGCTAATTAAAAAGCATTTACAGGTTCCAGATGCACGACCAGCACTCCCTCAGTCTGGCTTCCAGACGCACAATTACAAAATTATAACACCGTCTGCAAATGGTGCCCAGCTAAATTTATACTCAATCGAAACCACATCCAAAAACATGTTAAAATTGTGCAGCAGCAGGCTTCCAGTCAAACCAGCGAGTTTGGCAGATCTTACATTGAAAAAAAAAACTTTTTAATTTTGCCGACGAGCATGGCTACGGCGGCAAGCATTCAGAACAGAAACCGGAGACTTTTTTTTTGGCCTTAGATCACGACTTTTGGTCATGGGACCACAATAGCTGTCAAATTTGCTCAAAATTTAGAAAAATTAATGCAAAAATAAAGGAGGGTGGAGGTTATAAACCAATGCGGAACAGTAAATTTGAGACAAACAAAAAATCCTTTTAGATTTATTTGTTCTTTTTATCCATAACTTACGTGTGCAGAGCGGTGTCTCCGTAAATATTATCATCGAGACCTTTCACACCATAGGCTGGGTCAAGGAGGTGTTTGAGAGTAGAGATGTGCCCTGTCCTAGCGCAGTAGTGCAGCGGGGTGTTCTTCTCATTGTCATGTATGTTCACTGGAAATACGATCAAAAGATTTTGAAGTGGTTGAATATACTGTCCGTGAAGTAATAGGATACAAATATTGAGTGGCTCAGAGTGACATGGGAGGATTATCGCAAGATAAAATCTGGACTTTTCCATTTCACAAGGCGAAGCCGAGTGAACTGAAAAGTCCAGATTTTACCAAGCAATAATATTCCTCTCATTTCACAATTTAAAGCCACTCAATATTTGTTTTATATAACTGACATATATAGATCCTTGTCATTTGATATATTTGAACTTTTTTCAATACAAAACTGGAGGAAAATATATTTCTCTCTTCCAAACCACCCCTTCACGAAAATGTTTAAACCCAACGCTGTAGCGCTGGCTCTTTGGAACAATATGCGCTACGCGCAATGCTGACACACCAGCATGCATTTGCACACAAATACCGCGTCATGATCCTAACTGTTGAATAGTATTTCCCATTCCCCATGGGCGGATAGTGCTTTTTGAGCCGCGGCATGAATGGGAGCAATAAAGAATGCCACGTGATGTGAGTTCCACCAATCAAATGACAAGAATCTGTACGTCAGTTATATAATTCAGGTGACTTGCAGAGAATTAATTGATGTGGACTACATGAGCAATGGGTTATTTTTCTCTTAGGTATGAATTTCAGATATATTAAGCATGCATCTCTGCAACCGATGATATCCAAAACAATTAGCAAGTTGAATTTATATTTCTAGTAGTATGGTATACTGGTGTAGGAACTGTTTTGGCCATGTGTAGATATCGTCGATGTTTTCACGAAGTGACAAAAACCTCCAAGATCAAAAAAAATTTCAATTTTGAGTTTTGCCGACCAATTAATTGCATTTGACAAAAGGAAGAATTTGGCTGAGTTTACTTTTGTAATTATCGTAAACAAACATTTGACAAAATGCCTAAAATCCATGTTTTCTGTTTTCACGAAGTGACACAAACTTAACTCGATAGCAGGGCCAGAGGAATAAAGCATTTCTCTACACACACGTTATGATGGGATTGGACGCGCACGCCGTGAACGAAGTCGATAAAGAACAGACACGCGCGCGCTGCAGTGACGTCAGACGCGCAAATGTAACAATTTCTTAGAAGGTTTTATGTTTTCACGAAGTGACAAAGAGTGTGTACAGCTTAATGGGACAAAAAAATGAGGCCTCTGTGTTCTGCTGTTTTCACAAAGTGAAAAAAACTGTTATTGATCTTTACTAATGAATTACAGTTTAATTAAGAGAGACTCCTAATAAACAACTTTGAATTAGCAAAGAACAAAGCATACGTTACTTGACAATGCAAGAATTTCTTAAATCCGTAACTAAAAACTAGTCGAAAAGGTTTTTTGAAAAAATGATTAACTTCAAAGGCCATAATCTCGGAATGACCTTTTTGCACGATATTGAGGTTTTTGTCACTTCGTGAAAACACCGACGATATGAGTCATGTGATATCTCACTGACGGTCTCAGACTGTCATCTGTGAATTAGACTAGCCTCACCTTGGCCCAAAAATTTCGCTCAGATGACAACTCACACCTCTTGGACCAAACTGGCTTACTATTGTAGGCTTTTCAAATCTGGTTTATCAGTGTCTTATTATAACATTGTTTTCAAATCATGTTGTGGTTGACATAGGTAATCAAAATAACTTGTATAAATGTAACATCTCAGACATAACAAATTGCTGTTTAAAAAATGTAAACAGAATTCTGTTAAGCACTGTACATACCATCAGCTTTGTTGTTTTTCCTGCCAGTTATGAGCAGCTTGGCTACAGTCAGGAACCCCTTGGTGCAGGCCAAGTGAAGCGGGCGAACTCCGACCCCACTGCTCATGTTGATGTCGGCGTTATGGTTGATCAGGCATTTGACAACCTGTCCAACAAACAGTGGCAAAGAACATGTCATAAATCAGTCATTTCAACGAAGACGTATCAGCGTGAAGTGAAATCACTTGGTGAAATGAAAACTAACAAATAACACTGAAGGTGTTTTGGACACACAGTCATGTTTTACATAGCACCCGAGGACAAGCCATTGTCTTTCCTTGGTTCCTGTAATATAACACTCTCCCATAGACTTAGCACATCAACGCACAATCGAGGACCGTTTTCAACAAAAGATTAATGATCGAGGTCAACAAAGAATCTGTTGTTCCCTCTTTGTCTGTGGGTCCTCGGGTGTATGTAGTGTACGCCCACTCTTGTTGTTTCAGAGGTGTAATTGTATTAAATCATACAATTTTTCAAAACCAACCAGGTTTTGGGCACAGAATACTTGAAACCATCAAATTATACCTGAGTGTCTTTCTGAAACATTTACATTGGAAGCTTCAAACGCTTGCCAATGCAAATGGCTAAGAAAAACGTTAAAACAACGTCAATTACATGTACATGTATTTCACTTTTCAGAACGGCTGCGTTCTATTGTGATAAACATGGAACCAAAGTCTATCGAAGGGGCCAATGGTCACTTGTTTCTCCTTTTTAAAAGACCACTCCTACTGAGACCAAAGACAAATTCTTTTAGAACTAGCAGGACTGTTCTTATCAGATGCATTGTCAGAACAAAAACTACTAAGCGAAAGTTGATAATAAGCAGGACAAGTTCTATTCAGAACTAAATATCTTCTAAGCAATAGTTATCACCACAAGGTATTACCGCAAACTGAAACAATACCACTCCTACTAGTTGAGTGTTTAAAGTTCAAGAGACTATACCAATATGATTAATAGGTATGCACTGGAAGATGCAATGGCTTTATTAGCTATGGACAGAATTGATGACGGAAGCATTAACCGAGGCAACAGTTGTTTGCTTATTTGATAGATGGTTGTCTTTGGTTGTAGTCAGCCTTGACTATGGGAGACACTAAAAGGACAACACCTGTGGCTTGTAGGATATGAAATTCTAGGTCCCAACAAGTGTCTACAAGTCCACCATATCACAAGTCCATTACGTGTGAATCACGAGTCCACCACGAGACCATCACAAGTCCATCACAACTGTGACTAGTCCATCTCAAGTCCATCACAAGTCCCTCGGTTTCAAATCAAGTCACTAGCTCTTCAAATGAACTGCTGCAAAAGTATTCTGTCACTGTTCACCCCATTACTTGCGACTGGAATATTGAAAGGACTTGTGACTAGACTTGTGAAAGGACTTGTGATGGACTACAGCACTGTCTAGGTTGAACTGCTGTGGCAAAAAAAACTGACAGACACCATTCAACAAAATTTCTGACTGGACTATTAATACGATTCATTGGTGTATACCTGGTCATGACCAAAGAAGCATGCACAGTGCAGCGGAGTAAACATGAGAGCATCTTGGGCATGAAGGTCAGCATCGTACCTCAACAACAACTCTGCAACCTGAAGGTGAAATTAGAAACGTTATAAAAGCAGTCAAACCACCAGTAAACAGCTGTCATGTTTTGTGCTCTCAATATATGCACAGAACATAAATAAATCATGCATTGGGAATTTACTTGTGGAGGACTGAGGCAGAATCCAATGTTTGCGTGGATTGAAAATGGTTTCTACCCAAAAGGGCCTAGTGGTTAGGGTCACTGTTCACACTTGCATGCATCTACAGCTCATGTGAGTGGGCTCACAGAGCACTACCAGTGTTGGAGTACTCGTACTAATACTCAAGTACTTTATTATACTCATACTCGCAAGAAAAAATTACCCGTACTCGTACTTGTAACAAAGTACTCCTACTCTTGCAAATCGTCGTGTCAGTGCAACAAGGTCGTATAACCCCTAAAATGACATTTTAGAATGTCAAAAGGTCGTATCTCGCTTAATATAACCCGGATGTACACGCAAAGTCAATGGACGTCGAGATACGACCTTGTTGCACGGAGCGTATTCACGCGAGATACGACTTTGTTGCAGAATGGAGTTACAACCTTGTTGCACTGACGCAACAAAATGTTCTCCCACGAGAATTTAAAAACAAAAAAATTAAAAGCTGCATGCAGGAATAGAACCAGTTTTCTACTATGAGAGTCTTCTGTATTTGTTTAATCCCTAGTTTGACAGCAAAAAGCCCTTCAAAACATGCATCACATTGAAATTTGCTCCCACTTGTGGAAAGCACTCGTACTTGTACTCATACTCGAGTACATTTTTTGGTACTCGTACCCATGGAAAAAATATTGCCATGCACTTGTACTCACACTCATGAACTAAAAGTGGTGGGCAGCCATGTTAGTCAGGCAAATTCTAATATAAAAGTAAGGTAGCACTTTAACCCCCTTAACTCTAACTCCCTAGGGGGTATGCAAAATCGTATTGAATGTGGAGGATTCAGGACTGTTAGGGCTATCGCCGAATGACAGCTCTAGACGCAGCTCGATAAAAGCCGATAGTATTCCTGCTGCAAAGAGCATCCATTAATAGACTACGGCTGAATGCCTGCATCCCTACACATTCCACCCAATGTGCAGCTGTCCTTGGCCGAACAGTGCCAGCGTCAAGGAGTTAAATGACTAACTGACTAAGGTTTATAAACCTTCCCTCTTCATTGCATCTTATGAAGTTGCTGCGAAAGATTATGCAACCCTTCATTCCAGTTAGTCATTTAAAGTCCTACCTTACTTTTATATTTGATCAAACTCATGACAAAGCACTGGTACTCAGACTCAAACTCATGGCAAAGTACTCGTATTTATACTCATGGAAATGTACTCGACTACAACACTACTTAGAAATAATAGTTAACCTTTCAGAGTCTGTTTTGTTAAGCATGATGTAGCTTGCGAGGTTGTGACGACCTCTTCATTCAGTGTCTTGACGACCTCGCAAGCTACGTCATGCTAAACAAAATAGAGTCTATGTCAATATGACAAGAGTCCAATATCAGTCTCCATGCTGCTACAACACTAGGGTTCAACATTAACTTTTGTATTCACTAGCCAGCCGGGCTACTGAAACAGACTCTTAACTAGCCCAAGGGCATTTTCACTAGCCCACATTTTTTTAGCTCAAATACAAAAAGGCTAAATTCTGAGGCAATTTTGTCAGTGTTATTAATAAACAGATCTAATAATTTAACCTTTTATAGCTATAGTCCATCATTTGCAGCCATCCGAAAAAGTAACTGGCGTATTATTGTTGAAAAACATACTTGATTAAAAGATAGTAAGTGGACTAAACTCCCTGAGAAATCAATCTTTCTGGCAAGCTATCATTTTGAAGTAATCAACGAAAGAAGGCCTTTCCAACGGTGCGTCTTAAGACGCACCGTAGGAAAATTTAAATTAGTAGTTCGTTTTGTTATTCGGCGCAGCGTGCGCAAGCATCGGAACGATGCACAGGCGCGCACAGTTGCTATAATTCGTCAGATCAGTGCGCGACATCGCGTATAGCTGCAATTCAAAACAATTCAAAACATGATTCAGCAACTGTTGATTTGAAATTGAGATCCTAGAATGCTGTTTTTCTCGGAATATACAGCTGAAGCTGAGCTGAAACTTCATCAGGTTAGTTGTTCAGTATCCTTCTTTAGATTTTGAACACTTTTGTTGCTTCAAACGAACAAAATGCACAAATTACAAATGATGGACTATATCTTTAAAACAGTTGATAAAATGAGATACAAATTGATGAGGTTATTTTCTGAATTTAATGATTATTTCTTCCTGTCTGTTCATCTTTGCCGTATCCCAATAATTTCTTGATTCGCCATCCAGGCTACTTTAGGAATAGCTTGACTAGCCCGCCGCTGTTTTGACTAGCATCAATTGGCTAGCAGGCTACCGTTAATTTTGTACCCTGCAACACTGCCAAACGTACATGCACATCAATACAGCTAATACTTGATCACATACCTGAGCATGACCACCAAGGCAAGCCAAGTGCAGGGCGGTGATCGAGGCATAGCCCACACTTCCCACATCAGCCCCGCCCATCAGCAAATCACCCACCAACTCAATATCACCCTAGTAAATACAAAAATAATACTACATGTCAAAGAAAACGTGTCCTACTTTTGACCTTGAAAATTCTGTCGTTTACCAAAGGAAATAAACCAAAATTTCAGATCATGTAAACAAGACATGACAAATTTTATGGAGCGAGTTTCATCAGCTTTGTATAAGAGGGTGAGATTTGAACGCCATATGAAAACAATGCTCACTTTCAGAATGTTGATACAGTGCTGGAGACGATGGCAGAAGGCGCGAGCTGTGGATGACAGCTTCTGAAGGAATGCAGGATCATCCCTGATGTCATTGCACACCTCCTCGATCGTGTGTTGCACCACTCAAAAGTTGCAGATTTTGAAAGCGAGTATTCATTTCGTACAATGTCGTATGGCGTTTAAATCTCACCCTCTCACACTAAGCTAAGAACTAATTGTTTGATTGGTCGATTCGAATGCAGTGTTTTTGTAATACAACAACAGCCGGGCACATATCGCGTAACATGATACAGAGCGCATGACACAGGTTTTATTAAACCATGTCTATGACGCACAATGGGTGAATGATCGAAGACCCAACACAGAAAGGGCCCGCTGATTGGTTAAAATCTAGAGGTCAAGATTACTGCAGGATGCTGTGGTCCAGTGGTTATGTCGTTCGACTCGTGTGCCGTGGTACATGGTTTGAATCTTGACGGGGAACATGGTACTTGTGTGCTTGGGCAAGGCACTTTACTACGATTGCCTCTCTCCACCCAAGTGTAGTAAATGGGTACCTGGTAGGAAGAAATTCCTTAAATGCTTGAGCGCCATAATGGCAGCCGTGCTAAAGCCAGGAAAATAATAGAATGTCAGGAGCGTCACTTCGTGATGGACATGAGCGCTATACAAGAAGCCATTATTATTATTAAGATACTGTTGCCTGCATAATTAATCAGCGAATCTGCTCAAATGAAATACCGCAACATCATGGCTTTCACCATGGACAATTACACATGTACACAGACAGCACTGATGATGGGCCAGTTCCCAGATCTTCCTAGAGTCGTACGTACCTTGAAGCTGGCAACGTGAAGAGCTGTGAATCCACGTTCACTCAGGCTATTGATAGATGCTCCCACCCTGGCAAGAAATCGTACAACACTTCTGCAACCTGCGAAAGCACCCAATAAAATGACTGAATATAACACAACCTCAGATTTGTTTTATTTGTCTAAGCTTTTCATGCTGGAAAATAGTTCCTTTTTTAATAGTGGTTTTTAGCATAATTGTTTTAATTTTAATTTTTTTTTACATTTATTTATATATTTCTGTTTTTATATTTCCTGCTCAACCCAACACGGTCCAATACAACCCGACTTGCCAAGTTGGTGGGTATCCTGAAGGTTTAAAGTGACCGGCATATGCTCAATCCAACAGAATCCAATTGTTTTTCAGTTGTCTGCTGGATCCAACAGAGTCCAACTTATTTTACCAGTACCCAACAGAATCCGACTCTGAATGTTTTCAGTTGCCTGCTGAACCAGGCATGCAACTGGGAATTTAGAAAACACGAAGAAATTCCAAACCACACAAGACTTGTGTTTTTCAATTTGTATTAATAATAATAATTATAATAATAATTTGGGAGGCTAATCATCCTTACTCGCAGCTGGTATGCTGAATTGCGAAGGACGCGGCTACAACGTGGTCGGGCCGCTGGCATGTAAAGGGGCCTATGGCTGCCGGCCACATCGACCCATACATGTATATGACCACGGAGCACAGCCTGAGATCGAAAGGTTTTGATTTTTCCGGAGGGAGGAAAACCGGAGGGCCCGGAGAAAAACCCTCGTGGCACAGGAGAGAACCAACGCACAACTCTACTCACATGCGATCCGCGGCCAGGATTCGAATCATGGTCACGTCGGTGAGAGGCGAGCGCTTTACGCACACGCCACCCATACCACCCTGGCATACATGAGAAGTGAACAATGAGGAACTCAGCGGGGATCTGAGGAAAAGTTGCCTGCTGAACCCAACAGATTTTAACAGGAATATACCAGGGGTTTACTGCTTAAGCCAACGGGCTCCAGCGGGTATGTCCAATAGTGGGATCCCATTGGATTGAGCAGGGTTATAGGCACTTCTGGGTTAACATGTGTCTCCCTCCTATTCCCTTCTGAGTGTTTTCTATACCTCCATCCATGCAGCATAGATGCAGCAGTGTCAGCCCACTGTCAGTCTTCTCATGAATATTTGCATCACTAATCAGCTGCAAGATTTCATCAAGGTCATCAACACTGATAAAAGAATAGAAAAACAATTCCTATTATTTTATTCTGATGATCAATTTAGTATTGAAAAGTCCCCATGATGCGAATGCGAGACAGATAAATACTACATTGTGACCAAGCGTATTCCTCAAACCTCGACCCACCTTTCATTCATTTCGGCATGGCAGTAGTATTAAAGGGAAGATACAACATTTGCAAACATCAAAAAACGAAATGATCATATTATCACCAAATACCTTACTGGATTGTTAAGGAATGACGGTCTAAAGCATCATGTAAAATCATGGCTCCTGGTATGCTGACATGTTCAAGAAAAATTGTATTTTTCTAACGCTGGCTTATTTTTAAAAAAACTGCTCCAACTTTTTCGTATTCATTCTGCATTTTCTTTGCAATTAATTACACACCTGTGAAGGGGTACAATCCTGCCAGACTGATTCTCTGACCTTGCGATTCCCCAAAGTCTACACATTGCTCTGTTTCATCTTAATTGTGGCCAGGAAACCAGACTACATTATTTATTACAAGAACACGATTGGTTTTCTTGGTTTTCCAGCATCTACAATCTCACGTGAAACAAGCCAGTTTAACAATATTTGCCATAACATTCTAATTCTCCAAATCCATTTACATGTATTTCTGAAAATTGCCGCAAAAGCAAATGTTGTACTTTCCCTTTAAGCTTATAACAGTGCTGTGACACAATTGTTGAGTACTGGTACAACTGTTGATCTGCCAAAGGACCGTGCCGAACAGCCAAGCCAAATGGTTCCTAATGCGGCATTAAAAGATATACAAATTAATAGAGTTTCGGAGATGCTACTGAAATCTGTTATTACACATACATACCAGCAGGCTTGTTGTAGAGCACTCAGCTCATTGTCCTCGTTAACGGTTGTGTCCTGTGCAACCCTGGTCCTCAGTGTGACGTAACTGTCCTTCACTCGCTTCAACCATGCTTCTATAAAAACATTTCAAAATACAAAATTACATGTAGGCCTACATAGCTTATGTATTTCAAGGTAAAGGGAAGATACAACATTTGCAAACATCAAAAAACGAAATGATCAAATTATCACCAAACATCTTACAGGATTGTTAGGGAACAACAGTCTAATGCATCCTGTAAAATTGTGGCTCGATCTGGTGAGCAGACGTTTTCAAGAAAAATTTATTTTTCCAACGCTGGTCGGCCGACCAGCGTTGGAGAAAACTGGCCTTTTTCCAAAAGTGCTCGTTCTTTTTTATATTTCATGTATTCAGTTCGTCTGCATTTTCTTTGCAATTGATTACACACATGTGAAGACTAAAACCCTGCTAGACTGATTCTCTGATCTTACAATTCCCCAAAGTCTATAATTTGTCCGTTTTATCTTAAGTGGGGTCAGGGAACCAGACTACAATAATATCATTGGTTTTTTTTGGTTATTCCAGCATCTACGAACCCAAAACGTGAAACAAGTCAGTGTAACAATATTTTCTATAACATACTAATCCTCCAAATCAGATCAGATCCCACCATATGAGTCGTTTTTAATGACATATAAAAAACTTCACTGTCCTCAATGCATTTGAAAAAGTTTTACCCAGCCTTTATGTTTTTCCCTTTGCCAACTTTTTGAATCAAACATTTGTAACATATTGTCTTTTAATTTGTTTCCAGCAACGTCCTAGCTACTATGCAATTTCAAAATGTAGTAGAAAGGATAATGGCTCCTTTGGGCACAAAAGCATAAAGAGAGTCGAGAAAATAGAAGAATCATCTGCCATCTTGGAAAATCTTAATAGAGAAAAAAGGGTCACCTCCTCCCCTTTTTTCCAATAGCCTGGACAAGAATCTTTTTTTTTTTGGTTTAAATTGGCCTACGGAAGACATCTACTTGTACATCAGACTGGGACCTTAAGTGCAGAAAAACGTGAAAAACAATTCATGCCAACCTTTTAACTGACAAAGTTTCCACGAGTCAAATAAATTAAGACGACATCGTCAGTATTTCACCAGCCAGGTTTGAAGTCTCAATTCAATTTTTCCAGAGAAAATGTTCTTTACTTTTTTGCACCTGATGAGAGTGAAGCCATGTAATTGCAATTTGAAGCCTAAGACTCGACTGGTACATGCATGTCCAAGTGTTAAAGGATTGACCCTAACCCCCTAGTACTTCCTCGGGACTACCCTGCTAAATCCAACAAAGTCCAACCAGACTTTCCTGCTCAATCCACTGTGCCTCATTTTCAGTTGTCTGCTGAATCCAAGGGGGTCCAACAGGGTGTTATTATGTGGTTCAGTTGCCTGCTGAATCCAACATTTTGCATGAGGGGTTAACTGCTCAATCCAACAGGCTCCATCGGGTATGTGACATTGTTGGATCCTGTTGGATTCAGCAGGGTTTTTCAGTCACACAATGTATAGTCTGGTGTCATGACTAGGAGATATGTGTAAAAAAACAGGGACTGGCCAGAACCAAAAGCTTATTTAGACACAGTTGAATGATTCTGTACTAAAGGTGATGGACTAGTTTTTTAATGTGCCAGTTATTTTCTTGTTTTGCATGTTTTCCGCACTTCACATTTGGGGACTCTGATACACAGTATGGAGAGCCTCAAATTTTTGGACTACTGTACATATGTGCACCAATGGATTCCTTTGGGGAACTAACCCACCGGGCCTGTTTGTACAATGTATGTGCAACCTCTATGAGAGAACACAGCAAAAAAATCATTAAAAACAGGCCCTTTTTCACATCTGTCACCACCACTTCATTATTCGACAGAGTATACATGTACCTTAGATCTTACTACAGTATGACCCCAACAATCTTTCAGAAAATGAAAGAAAAACTGAATAAAACACTGATTTTCACTCGCGAATCGATGTTAAACACTGCATTTTTAGTAAAAAAAATCTCTCTGTTTTGTGTGTAAACCACGCGTTCAGCCAAGAACTGGTCCATTAACATCATCACAACGATAAATACAACCACCCGGAAGCTTAGATCACTTGAGTCATTTTTCTTCGTCTCGTCAGCTTCCAACAGTATAACCCTTATTGTGATTGGTTGAGGTTTAGGCTCGAGTGTATTCATTTACAAAAGAATTGTTCTCTAAACTCCCATCAAATTTGTTGTTGCTCAAGGCTCAGCGCGTAGGGTCTGTTATTGTACACATGTGCTAGGCGGTGCTAGTGTATATACACAGAGCCCGAGAGCTGTTTTTTATCTCTATGTCCAACATGTCCAAGGTCATCTGCCTGTGGGCATTTGGTACTCCTAGAACTATAAAGCTCCACGTAGTGGAGCCTCATACATGTAGATGAAGAACCCCGCAAAATTGTTTTCAGCACAAAACACTAATTAAGTACAAAAACGTCCATCAAAATGCACACATTTCCCACAGAACCGCTGCACAGTTTGCCCCCAAACTCCATACTACACCTCATGACATACTCACGTAATGTGCGCAGAACAAACATCGCTGGATTTTGTTGGTTTTTTGGCTAAAATGATAAAAATATGCCCTTTCCGCACTGAGCCAACCTGACACTTGAAACGTGCACGCATATGATCCAGCAATGATTTTTCTGTTCGCTCGGAGCGCGCCGCGGGGGGTACGGTACTTGCACTTGTACGCTTGCGCATACTATCATTTCGTTAGGCTTTTGGCTGGTTTACATGGGGTCCTTTTGACCACAAAGGATTTGATACGAACTCATATGAAACATATCCCATAAACATATTGAACTATATCTCCTACCTGAGCAGGATGATGGTGGTCTGGACTTGTAGGCTCCCATCACACCGGTGCCCTGCCACGCTGGTCACCACCTGTCCAACGTCTACATTTTTGTTGTCCGCTGCTGGTTACGGAGCTATGCACTTACATGTAGATGTCATTTAGGCTTGGATGTCTTATGAGACTTGTCTTATGAATTATGGAATCTGGGCTGGGATAATAGAGGGAAAATAGACAATTTTTGTAATACACTGGGGATATCTGGATATACAGTTGCGTTTTTCAGGCCTCTTATGATCTAGTTTTTATAACGTAGTTTCTCCAGCTCTAATGCGATTGGGGCTGGAGTTACTCAAGCTTCCGTAGACCCCCTACTGGGGTGCTAGAACTCCTTTGTCAAATTTTGGATTTGGAGTACAACAGACCAAATCCAAATTTGAAAAAGAAGCTCTCATGTTCTAGTGCCCCATTTTAGTGAGTCTAGCATGTCTAGGAGGAGGATCAAGGATATAAATCACGATAGGCCTAAATATCAGTATTGGCTGATTTAAATCATGTTGATTTAAATTACTGATTAAAATCGCGATTTAATTCAAATGATTTTATTGAACCACTGACTTAAATCACTTTTTTTGTAAAAAACTTACTTTTGGCAAAATAAACTGGTTGAGGGTCATTTTAATCATATGGAATCAACCGATTCCGCTTAATTAAAAAAAGTAAGATGTTGTTAACACATTCAAACATGCCCTTTTTCATCAGCATCAACTCAACTTGCATTTGTACATATGTACATATAGTTTTTGCATAATTACCCAAAAGCATTCATCTGATTTAAGTCCAGATCTGAGTTTAAAAGTTTTTCTTTGAAGTTTGAATTTTAAAGACAGCACACTCACATTTCCTTTATGTGAATCAACTGTGCTAGTGTATAGGCTAACCTGAACCATCAAAAGGTGTATTAAGACCCAATTGATAGTCTTATCCCTAACTTTTCTCCATATAAATTTAGAGGAGATTTAAAATGCCTTAAAAAGGTGTGAGGCCTGATTTCTGTTCGCCACCTTGTATGAAGGACCATCAATCCAACACTATAAGTTACACAAGGATCAGTGCTGCCGGTTTTGAAATTAAAAGCATTTTTATGAAATCAACATGCCAATGGAGAACTGCAATATTCTTTTGTATACCATGTACACATACCATAAATCATGTTATTCATTCATCCACACTCACACAATGTATATCAGCTGTATCAATCAAGAAATGCACCTTTAAATGTCTTCAGTATTATATTGGTGTACCATTGAACCAATGTAGATGAAATCAAACTGATTTTTTAATCACTAATTCAATTCAATTTTTTCAAAAGCATTTATCAATTGACTGATTGATGGAGATTTGTGGATGACGGGTATTTTTTAGCTTGAGTAACTCCCGCTCAAGATCTGGAGTATACTCAAGCTTGGTATTTATAGGAACCTGTTAACTCGTTATTCATGTAACTTAATTACTAAGGCCGGTACGGGTACGGGTGCATGGGGAGATTAAGAAACATTTTTACTAGAATTAGAAACATCAAATTATTTGAAAGTTAAAAACATCAAAATAATCTGATTTAATTTAAAAACAAAACAAAAATTGATGTAAAATTTTGTATAGGCCTAGTCCTGGGCACGGCCGCACGGCCTAACGTTAGGCCTAAACATTAAAACAAGTAGCGTTCACTTACATCTGTAGGCCTACATGTAAATCTGATTTTCAATTTTTTTTCATTAAAAAAATCGCCAACCCTGCTGAAAATATAGAACCGTAAACGTGGCGCCATTTACATTTGTACAAATGACAATGCCACGTTCCAGAGTCAGATAAAAGCTACGCGATCCTATTTCTACGCACTCACAAACTGACTCACATTCAATTGGTGAGTGACACTGACAACGCGCAAACGGTAGGCCTGTCACGCCCCAACTATCGCATCGGTCCCAACTATAGTTGGGACTGTCCCAACTATAGTGCGGCAGTTGGGTCGGCCCAACTATAGTTAGGACTGGAGTTGCGCCGGATGCTTCATGCTTGATAGATCTTGTTGGATTAAATGTTCCGCGGCGCTGGCACCATGTATTCGTCGTGCATGCATGCCGCAAGGCTGGCCGGTCACGTGGTACTGCCTAGTTGGATGAGTTTTCCAGCTGCTGGGTTCATTGTCCAGCAACATTTTGCAAAATTCAAAGATTGCCATGGCCGGCCAACTATAGATGGGCCCCACCCATAGCTAATGTCAAAGGTCCCAAGTAAAGTTGGACAGTATGTAACAGAGATGTAGGGAATGTTTTATAGTCGTCGTACATCAATGTAAACTATAGTTGGGACCGCCAAATAAAAATATTGCGGTGGCCCAACTACAGATGGTCCCCACCCATAGATAATTTCATTGGTCCCAAGTAAAGTCAGATGTGTATTAGAGTTGTAGGGAATGTTTTATAATCGTACAACAATTTACACTATAGTTGGGACCGCAAAATAAAAAGATTGGGGTGGCCCAACTATAGATTCGCCCCATCAATAACTAATTTCAGTGGTCCCCGGTAAAGTCAGACGTGTATCAGAGCTGTAGGGAACGTTTTACAGTTGTACATCAATGTAAACTATATAGTTGGGACACCGCAAAATAAAAAGATCGGAGTGGCCCAACTATAGATGGGCCAGCCCAACAGTGGAACTTACAGTTAGGACCGTCCCAACTATAGTTGGGACAGGCCCAACTATAGTTGGGCCAGCCCAACTGTGGAACTACAGTTGGGACAGGCCCAACTATAGTTGGGACCGATGCGATAGTTGGGGCGTGACAGGCCTACGTACATTTTGTACCTGCGCAGATTTGGATGGTGATCGACATTGAAATTTGAAATCAATCATTTTTGTGGTCATGATGGTCGAGGATATTAAATTCACCCACCTGCCCACTGCACTAGAGGCCTCCTGCTGGCTTTGCAAATCTTAAATCATGTCAATAATGCCTCTATTTTTGTTTCACACAGTTACGGTGTGTGTTCCGTTAAAAAAACTTGCGAGTGTAACAACAACACTCAACAGCGCCTCCATCGGTGAAATGGCCACCTCCGCAATAAGACTGGTCCCCGCCGCCCACAATTCAGATTCGAAGGAGCATGGATGGACCAGGAACCAGGCTTTCCCGCGCGCGCGCTAGATCCATGTGACAACTCCATGCAGCTGGTTTACACACATACATGTAGCACAGTGAACGTACTTCATGTAATTACGCGACGTTCACAGGTCTCCGAGAATCGACCTCGACAAAACATGTAATTTTGGACACTCTAAGGTTGGGTACGTTAGTCGGGAAAAAAAATGTAGGAAAAGATCCCATAGTAGGCCTGTCACAGTTACTGTTTAGCCTCATAATGCATAAATGTGGCCAATTTACCATGTTTACTGGACTGGCCTACCTCCGTCATTGTCCGTAAATGGCTTGACATTTCTCCATGCTTCCCCATGTGCTAAAACATGTGGAACTTTGTCAAATTTAGATTTTCACATGTAGGCTTAGTTTGTAGTTTAATTTTGCTTTAGAAGCATACTCACTGTCTTCATACTTATAGGCTAATCAGAAGGTGCTGCCTTTTTTCAGAACTAGGGGCCTATGTCTATTTTTCGTGGAATTTCATGTTGAAATTTTGATACGCAAACGTACGTGTGCAAACGAATCTGGAAATTTCACGAAAAGTAGACTAGACATCTGAAAAAGGCAACACTTTCTGATTAGCCTATAAAGAGGGTCCGTACGTGAGTATGGTTTTAAAGCAATAAACTACAAACTAAGCCTAAATGTGAAAATCAAAATTTGACAAGGTTCTACATTTTTTTCCAAGTTTGGCCTTTATAAAATTATTTACAATTACAGAGGTAGTCCAGTAAAGAAAGGGTCCTCGGTACCTGTATTTTACCAACCAAGTTTGAAGACTCAATTCAATTTTTAAAGGAGACTTTTCTTCAATATTTGGCAGTGGCTTGCACAAGAGAAGGAAGTCAAATGATTTCAAAATGAGGCTAAAGACTAGACTTCTACATGTCCATCCATGGCCCAACTGTTTGACAAGACTGACTTCTTCATTCATTGTCATTAGTGACTAATAATAGTCAGAAATAGTGACCTTGTACCGGACATCCTAGGTATTTCTTTTGGCACAGTCAGCGGACAGTTGATTGATGCAGTACTGAAGAGTTGTTGGACTGGTTGTTTCATACTGGTTGTTGGACTGGTTGTTTTGATCACTGATTGAATATTGCAGTGAACTCAATCTTTCTTTTTGTTTTCTCTTCTCTCAGACTGACATCTGAGTCATACATGTAGAACAATTTTCCAGCAGGCAGCTCCATTCATTGATCAATGTTTGCAGTCAGTCAGGAAAGACGGAAGGTAATTCATTAACCCTTACTCCCTCTGCATTTTTGTTAGAAAAGGATGCAGCCTCATTCCTGCAAAATTCTCCATTACACAAATGTAGTTCTTGAAATTTGGTCTTTGGATCGGGGTCCGCTCATAAGTCCGACGCCTCATAAGTCCCACAAAATCGCATCCCCCAACCAAATATAGGCCCATAAGTTCGACGCCTCATAGGTCCGACGCCTCATAAGTCCGACGCCTCATAGATCCGACGCCTCATAGCTCCGACGCCTCATAGCTCCGACGCCTCGTTAGTCCGACAAATTAAACGCCTTGTTTTTCCGTTGTCGGACTTATGAGGCTTCGGACTTATGATACGGCCCCTTTGGATCGGTGTCCACTGCTTCAATCCTTCAAAATCCTCCAGCAATCACTGGCAATAATTACAAATGTATATTGATGCAGAGCCAGTGACATCCTGGGATTAATATAGCAAGTAATTATAACACGGGTGGTTTACTACCCAACCATTTGACGCACTCAATCCAAGAGGTTTTATACCTGAGATCGAGGGTTTTTAAAGAATCAGGTGTTATTTGAAGGTTTGTTGGCCGGTCTTCAAAATTGTCACGTGATGATTGGAATCGACGCTCGGGGAACTGGAATATATCAGGGAGCTGAATTCTCCAAAAAGTGGAATCATTTTTGATTCCGAATTAAGAATCAAGTTATCGATTCTATTTGATTCCAGCGTGCATTCGCCCAAGCCTACATTTAACATTCGTGTTCATCTCGAGCTTGTTGGGTAACCAATTTGTCATGCATGGTACAAAGACATTGGGAAAACTGTTCCTGGGAATGGCAGGGATCACCTTACTTATTTTTCACATGCATGCATGCCAGGCATAATTTGGGCGATTCACAATGCAGTTCACCACCAAGAGTTTGCCACAGAGAGTTAATTTTTCCCAGTGCGTTGCGGGAGGTGGTTGACAAATTCGCAGCGCGGGACATTTGAAATCATTAGTTTTTCTGTCAGTAGTATCAAACATTGTACAATGTAAGTGTATGATTAGAGTATCTGTTTGCCATTTTCTATTCTTTTTATCAATATGGTGTTTTTTTATATGCCCCTACCAATCTATAACAAATTAGCTCAAGTTGTCTACTGACACTTGCATTCAAATGGGCCGTGCAGTTCTGTCGACCAAAAAGTTGAAAAATGATCTCTCCATGGCAAACTCTGGCTGGCACACGTACTGTATTTTGAATTACCCGAATTGAAAAGCATTCATATTGTATTGTGCATAGCTAGCTGGTTTCGTGTCAGGCAAAATGCTTAAAGTTTGCGTTTCTTCAATTGTTTCAGAAATCTTAGTCGTCTTACGCTACCAGCTGATGGTCCTCCCTGGGATATGTGCATACCTCTGTGATACTGTTCTGCTTATGTGTTGAGTTAAAGTGTAAGTACTGGGACTGAGAACTTAAATCTGTGAAAAAAAGTAAAGTCTGTCATGAGCCAATGTGGCCCATCAGGCTGGCGTTTATCTCCGGTTTCAGTAGCATGAAACAACTGAGAATATTTCTACTCCCCCTGGATGGGATGCTAGTCCATTGCAGGTTACTCTTCAGCTAATGTCGGTACCCATACTCCTGGGTGGAGAGAGCTAAGTGGGGGTGAAGTGGCTTGTCCAAGGACACAGCATATGACCAGCAGATGGATTCGAACCCATGACCCTCTGATCATGAGTCACGAATCCTATCCACTAGGCCGCTCTCCCCCACGTGGTGGACAAGTAAAAAAATATCTGGACAGCCAAATTTGCAAAGGAAAAAGTAATTTTGTCAACTGTTTTGATTGTAAAAAGCATCGTCTTAGTCTGGTAAACCTGACAAAGTGAGGTATGCAGTGGGTGCTGGTCTTTTCTGTAGGTCAGTGCTCCATTTAAACAAATTCTATTCTGAAATGCTTGAACTAATTTCAGCCAAATTGTCATATAATTTCATAGCTTTACCTGCTGTCACTATTTTACACCTTAATTTCTTTCAATATCGAACTTAGTGTACATTTACATGTAGGTGTGATGCAGTGAGTAGTCATGGTGCCATGAAGAGTTGTGGTGATGTGACTTCATAAGTATTTCTTGTCAAATAATTTAGAAAATTGCCCCATTTCGTCCCCGTTTTTGAAAACTGACCTGCACATGCTTTTTGGTGTCAGTTTGTAAAAACCGCATCATCAATAATGTCGGTTTCACAATTTTTGTTTTCACGAACCTACATGCAAACATGTGGCGGACATAAGAATGCTTTGCAAGGTTGGACACAAATTTAGTCTATCTTACGGCTTCAATGGGCTTGTGAAAAAATTTAATTAAACACCATTTTACTTGTGAAATTAGAACTGGGTGTCAAGTTCGTGAAAACGAAAATGTGCGGATTGCGCACATGTATTTGTAGTACAGGATCCTAGTTCGTGTTCGTGAAAACCAAATGAACATGTAACACAAATCTGTCTGGCACTCAATGCGCAACAGAGTGTCAGTTTGTGGTGTCAATGACGATATTTGTTTTCATATTGCAGCGGTCTTATATCCAGTGAAGGTGGATGAGTCAAAGAGTTTGCAGCACTCTCTTCATGGTGACTGCTGTGAATGTTTGACAAATGTACAGCTGCCAGGTACATCCCTTATTACCAACAATATACATTGCAGGTGTCATTGGAAATAGGTCTTTCTCAAAACGGCTATCTCTGTAGCAGAACTGAAACTGCGTATTTTATGCAGTCAAGCACGCATTGTGCAGTGTTGAAAGTGTTCCAAACACACGTGGGCTTGTTGCTCGAAATGCGTTCGAAATATGACGCAGCCGATGGACTTTATGCAAGTTGATGCTCAAAATGCCGATGCACGTGGCCGGTCTGTAGGAAATAATATCATTTGAGAGAGACCTATACCAGCTGTGTAAATGTAGGTGTCATTCAGTCATTGGAAATTGTTAGTGGTTTTCTGCACTGCGATATGCAATTTACGTGTTCTGAAAATATGTTGGAAGTTAGAAATCACCAAGTCTGATATTTCCTTTGAGGCTTTCTCGTAGGTAATATACCAATAGCCAATTTTGTTTTGTACATGTAACCACTTCACTGGTTAAACTCGACAAGCAACACTTGGGGTTTTTTTTATTATTGAGTAGAAAGATAGAGTTACAAACAATTAGTGGTCTTATGATTTGCATTTTAATCAAATGCTTGATGTGTTTTCGGTGACCTCAATTGATGTATTTATCCATAATTAATCCTTCCCCCGCCAGTTGGCCGCTGTAAAGCGTAACAATGTTTCTAACAAAAGTTCCACATGAAACAGATTATAAAATAACATAAGTCCTGATCATTTGTCAGAAGTGAAATCAAATCTGCCTCTTTTCTGAACATACCAAGCCCCTACCCTAAGGAAATTTATGAAAAAGACAATCAAATGAACCCACATCTTCATTTTTTGTCGCTAAGTAATTAATACCTCTAGGATCTTAAACTAAATGTTGCTTCTCAGGCTGAAATAAATCTTCCATCTCACATTTAAAAAAATCACATAATTGATCCCTAATTTTATAATGAAATATTATTTATTGCATGTCACCAATACCACATGATCAAGACACCATGGAGCCTCAAGGAGACACCGAAATACAGGGAATTTCAGGGGTTTATACTTTTCATTCAGTTTCCTGGCAGACTGTTCCAACGCAGAAACCGGTTCTTTTTATTGAACCGGAACTGGCTCCAACAAATTCTGGACCCTGTTAGTACTAGTCTGAAGCAGCATCACACCAAATTTCTTTGACCACCTAATCTGAAGTCCCAAACTGCCATTCCAGTTATTTAGCCAGTTTTGGTTAATAGTGTTTGTCCAGTAGTCTTAAAAACAATTTAGAAAACCACCCCTTTTTTATGTCTTCATTGTGCAGTGGTCATTTCAAGTGGAGATCAGCGTGTCAACAGCAGTCTTTTGAAGGGTTCTGCTTCCACTGTGTTTGCCATTGCTGTAAGAACTACGTCGTAGTTATCAGGTAGACATCCCATACTATCTACTGCTGCCCTGTTCGGTGAAATGCAAATTAAGATTTTAATCTGAAAATCTGTTTGATGCTTTAAATCACCAATTTGATGATTAGAAAGCTTTTCTGTAGAAAGGTTTTCTTTCTCTATTTTGCTTGAACTTTGCAAACAACGAATGTAATATCATTTCATTTAGTTGAAAATGCCACAAAGAAAGTTTTCTTTGATTCTAGTGTAAACTAACACCTTACTATCCTGTTTGATATGTTTTCAGTATTGTAATTGATTTGTGTATTTATTTATCCGTACCAGGTTCAGTAAATATGAATACTACAGACTGTTTGATGTGCAAAGCTCCCTTTTTAAGCAAGGAAAATGACAATGGCAGGTACAGCTTGCAAGATTGTGGCTTATCCCCAGCACAATTTGAGGGGCAGGATGGGTTTCTTTGCCACTCATGCAAATCAAAGCAAATGCAAGAAACAAGAAGAGCTTCAAATAAGAGACCAAGTAGCTGCCCTTTAGAACATCCTGAGTGTTTAAAGTGCAAAACCCCATTTCAAAAAGCCCCTAAAGGAGGATACCAAAGGAGGAGCTTAAAGGCTATGAAGATTTCCCCAGAGCAGTTTGGAGGGCAGGATGGATTCGTTTGTTACAAATGCAGACGGATTCTGATGAAGCAGCAAGCTCGCATTCCAAAAAAAAAACCAAAACGGAAGCGTCTCGTCAATCCCAGACCAAAACGGAAGCGTAGCTGCAATCCCAGACCAAAAAAAAAGTCAGAAAATACAAGACCTCATCATGAGACATTGAAAGAGCTTTTATTAAATAGAATGAAGGACTGTCAATATGGCCCAATGGTTAGACTGCTCCTTCGAATGGAATCAGCTAGGAAAGCTTATCAACTTTTTTTGGATAAGGCAGTCCGAAAAGAAATCAAGGCTTATCCCAAAACCCACTTAGCACATGCTGTTACTGCTGAACAAGTAGCCAGTTTCAAATGGGTTGAAGTCATTGAGGAAGCTACTTCGTGCATGCCGATCCTTGTAAATGTCCTGAAAGCTGCTCTCCCAGATCCATCGCACAGGAAGGGAAATGTATTCTGTGGCCGTGGGGTGAGATCAACAAAACAGGCTCAGGGTATTTATAACCAGCGCCTGGGCTTTATTTTGTCATTGATTATGTATTCACATAATCCGCAGGTGTACAGTTTCATTCAGGGATGTGTTTCTCTGCAACTGTGGAAACATGGATGCAGCCAAAAAGTTGTTGAAAGTTTGCATGCTCTTGGCATATGCAAAGGACTTAAGGGGACAGCTAAGACCGCATCCAAACTGAAGAAGGATCCAGCACAGAAACAGAAGCAATGGCAGCGTGCACTAAGTGAACAACTCAAGGCAAGTGCCGCAGCTGTTGAAGATAGTGAGACCCATAAGCCATCCCTTTGTAATCGAGTGCAGGCAGGTGTTCTGAAGTCACCTGTTGTAGAAGACATGGATGATGATGTTTCATCTGATATGAGTGTACATGTATCTGCTGACAGCAACTCTGATAGTGATGTTGTGTCATCTCATGAGGGGCAGGAGATTCGTGTGGATAGGAAAACCCACAAGCCAGCCCCTTGTAATGAAGTGCAGGCAGGTGTTTTGAATTCGCCTGCCACAGATGGCATGGATGATGATGCTGCTTCTGAGATGAATGTGTCTTCTGAGAACAACTCTGATAGTGATGCTGTGCCATCTCCTCTAGCACAACTTTCTCTACATGTAACTGCTGTTAATGTTGATAATTTGCCAAGTACATCAAGCGGTAAACATGGTTCATTCTTTGAGGACACATCCCATAAAAGAAAATATCAGGCACCTATTCACACGCTTCCATTGCACTTACGACGTAAACCTGAGCCTGGGTATACCATAGTGTGTGACAATGTTTTGATGCAGTCAGCTAAACGTTCCAACGAGTTAAAGTTGCAGGCCGCAATCTTTGCTGTAAGGAATAGAGTTGGATTTGACCAACAAATGGCTTACACTATGAAACATGCTGAAGACATCCCCCTCTCATGTTTTCTTCCGACTTTTTCCGACTGGAGAAATTTGAAGCAGAGGATGTGCCAAATTTTGCAGCACATTTTGAAAGATCATTTGCCGTTTTTGAAGGGAGTGACATGTTCTGCCCCTAAGCGGCACCTGCACAGTGATGCTTTGAGTAAGAAAAGTGAAATTGTCAGCTTAGGCGTGATAGATGAAAACCCCTTCAGCACACAAGGCTCAGTCTGTATGCTTGAGTCACTTCATCGGTTTGTGCCGTCATATGGAGAGGACTTGTACCCAACTGCATGTTTTGGAGATGGGCTGTCTGTAGCGCAAATGACCGATGCCAAACAAACGAGAGTTAGTGGAGCTTCTGCAGCGGATAGGTTGGAGGGACTAGTGCAGTGCCCACAAGACTTTCATCGAAGAGGTGTTTTGCTCCAAGACACAATGGATAGATTCTTCAAAGAGGAAAGTGCAACAGACAGGGGAACACTCTTTCAGTTGAAACAGGAGTTTGGTCATCAGTCAGTCAAAAGGAACGTCATGGAAAACTTCAATCATGTGGAAGATCTTATTCAGTTCTGCACACGTGCATTCAGCATAATGCTAGCACTCAAGCTTATCCAAGAAGAAGATATCCCTGAACCTTTTCCATCCTCAGGAGCTGCCTCTCATCAGAAGGTATGGCTCACGAAATTCATCTGGAAAATCGTAGATTTTGTTTGGCCTGAAATCCCAAGTGAAGACATGAACAAAGCATGTGAGCAACAAGGAGCAGGCGCCACACTTGGTTTTAATGGCCATAATGGTGATGTGGAAAATGCCATCAATGATGATGCCTGTAAGTGTGGTGAATCAACAGGAGAAGGAATGATCAGATGTTCCAACAGGGAATGTGGTTGGTTCCACTACTCTTGTGCATATGTTCATGGTCCCGTGGAAGGTGATTGGTGGTGTTCAGCAGAGTGCCAGGCTTCCAAGTCCTCTTTATATTGTAAATGCCATAAAAAGACAGAAAAGGAAGAGGTTATGATCCAGTGTGAGTTGCAAAGACATTGTTCTTTCAACGAATGGTATCATCTTGAGTGCGTAGGAGGGGCTGAAGATTTCCCAGATGAGTGGTATTGTTCTCCTGAATGTGAACAACGAGGTTTAGACAAATCAGCAAGTGACGGGGTCCAGGAATATTCCAGAGCCTTGTTATTTGAAGGTCTTTGCCATCTAGCCTTCCGTGATGCAGTATGGGAGGGTGATGGACCAGCCATCCTCAGCCACTGGAGGATCAACACCCTACAGTTTTGGAATAACAGTCATCTCAAATACTTCAACTTGGCACACAACATGCTGGCAGGAGTCAATGGATTTTATCCTGCCCGAGTTGCACATGACATGACCTGGAACAGAGTGGCTAATTTAACAGGTCAGGCAGATCACAACATTGGTCTGGATCTGGTGAAAGAAATTCCAACTGAAGACTACCAGGAAATGTTGTCTCAAGTGCAAGGTGTGAATCCAAAGCACCAGGGGGAACATTCCAGCAAACTGAGTGAGACGTTGTGTCGTGATCTAGATGACATCTTTTTGCAGTCTCGTTTTGGAATCCAGAAGCAGCGATCTGAGCAGGCACGACAGAAATTTGATCAGGACGTCCAGTGTTTTGCAGCTTCCTATACGGATGATGGCCTCTTTGATTTTGTTCCAGGCAGACATCACAAGTGCTTTCCATTTTTCAAGCACTCATTAGATGTGAAATCCCCACACATAATGGGTAAAAAGCTCCTGCAACTCAGTAAACTCATGGACATGGGCAGGGAATCTGTACAGTCATGGTCTGCTGCACATACATGATGATGTAATCAAGACAGTTTGGCTAAAATCTCAAACTACTTTTCAAGTTTGTGACTAATAAGCAAGTTGGTTTTTGTTTGGTTTGTCTTTAAGTTTATGTAATGTAGTATTGAAAAACAGTTAAGAAAACTATCCCCATTTTATGCCTTTGTTTCACAGTGGTTGTTCAAGTGAAGATCAACAAGTCAAGATGTACAGTATTCTCTTGAAGGTGCAACTGCTGTGAATGATTTTGGCATTGTCTCAACTGTTGTTGCAGCCGCCATGGTTATGGCTTGCATTATACTACCCGTGTAGATGCCATCTGAATTGTTAATGGTGCACTGACTTTGAAAGAACAAACTTTGATTATAACAAAAATTCCTGTAACCATATCCAAATTTGCAAAATTGTGCATGCAACGAGCATGTTTTTTAAATTTACAGATCTGCAAATGGGTTCTTTTTAATGTTGTAAAATAGCGCAACCCTGTTTGGTATTGTCAGTTAACTCAATTGATCCACACTGGCCTCAGTAAATATGAATAATACAAACTGTTTGATGTGCAAATCCCCTTTTTTAAAAGAGGAAATTAACAGTAGCAGTGATTATAAGGGCAGTTGCATGTACAGCTTGAACGATTGTGGCTTATCTCCAGAGCAGTTTGAGGGTCAGGATGGATTTCTTTGTCAATCATGTAGATCAAAGCAGATACAAGATAAGAGACTCGCAAAAATGAGACCAGCCTGTAGCCATTTGGAACATCCAGTATGTTTGAAGTGCAAATCCCGTTTTAAAAAGCAAAAGAAAGGATATAAAAGACGCAGCTTGAAGTGTTTGAAGATATCCCCAGAGCAGTTTGGAGGGCAGGATGGGTATCTTTGTTTCACATGTGTACAAGTAAATAAAATGATGCCGCCAAGAATAACAGGCCCTCCAAAAGAACATGTACATGTACATGTAAATAAAATGAGGCCGCCAAGAACAACAGGCCCTCCAAAAGAACACGTACATGTACCGGTACAGTGGTCTTCCAAGAGATCACTCTCTCAAGTTAAGGAAAGGCCAGCAAAGAAAAAAAAGCGAGAACAGACAACAGACCTTAAAAGGTTAAAAATCGTGGTTTTAAGATCTATCCGCAAAAGCCATTATGATCCCATTTTTAGAGCGCTCCTGAAAATCAAATCGGCTAAAAAAGCTTGTCATCGGGTTTTGAATACAGAGGTCCGAAAGGAAATCAAAGCCTACCCCCGAACCCACTTGGCACAGACTGTGACTGCTAAGCATGTTGCCGATTTCAGTTGGGACGAAGTTGTTGATGAAGCTTCTTCCCACATGCCGATTCTTGTTAATGTCCTGAAAGCTGCCCTCCCAGATCCATCCAACCATACAACCACAGGGACATTCTGCGGTCATCTGTGCAGATCAATGCAACAGGCGTATTGTTTTCGTAACCAGCGCCTTGGGTTCATATTGTCGTTGATTTTGTATTCACTTAAGCCACGGGCGTACAGTTTCATTCAAGGATGTGTTTCTCTGCAACTTTGGAAGCTGGGATGCAGCCAAAAGCTTAACGAATGTTTGCATGTTCTTGGTGTCTGCAAAGGACTTCATGGGACTGCAACCGCAGCAATTCACATACAGAAAGACCCCACCGAAACACAAAAGCAATGGCAGCGTGCACTGAGCAAGCAACTCAAGTCAAGTGCCGCAGATGATGAGCATAGTGAGACCCGTGAGCCATCCCCTTGTAGTCAAGTACAGACGGGTGTTCTGAAATCGCCTGTTGTAGATGACATGGATGCTGATGTTTTTTCTGATATGACTGTATCTGTTGACAGCATCTCTGATAGTGATGCTGGGTCATCTTCTGAGGGGCAGGAGATTCCTGTAGCTGTGGATGATAGGAAAACCCACAAGCCGGCCCCTTGTAATGAAGTGCAGGCAGGTGTTTTGAATTCACCTGAAACAGATGATGTGGCTGATGATGCTGCTTCTGAGATGAGTGTATCGGCTGACGACAACTCTGATAATGACGCCGTGTCCTCGCCTGTTGCAGAATCTGCTTCAATTGTGGCAAACGTGGCTGATTTGCCAAGTTCATCGGGCCGTAAACATGATTCAAGCATTGAGGCCACATCACATCACAGAAAAGATCAGGCATCTAAAGTAAAGCACATGCCTCAATTACAGTTACCACATAGACCTGATCCTGGGTATACCATAGTGTGTGACAATGTTTTGATGCAGTCAGCTAAACGTTCCAACGAGTTAAAGTTGCAGGCCGCAATCTTTGCTGTAAGGAATAGAGTTGGATTTGACCAACAAATGGCTTACACTATGAAACATGCTGAAGACATCCCCCTCTCATGTTTTCTTCCGACTTTTTCCGACTGGAGAAATTTGAAGCAGAGGATGTGCCAAATTTTGCAGCACATTTTGAAAGATCATTTGCCGTTTTTGAAGGGAGTGACATGTTCTGCCCCTAAGCGGCACCTGCACAGTGATGCTTTGAGTAAGAAAAGTGAAATTGTCAGCTTAGGCGTGATAGATGAAAACCCCTTCAGCACACAAGGCTCAGTCTGTATGCTTGAGTCACTTCATCGGTTTGTGCCGTCATATGGAGAGGACTTGTACCCAACTGCATGTTTTGGAGATGGGCTGTCTGTAGCGCAAATGACCGATGCCAAACAAACGAGAGTTAGTGGAGCTTCTGCAGCGGATAGGTTGGAGGGACTAGTGCAGTGCCCACAAGACTTTCATCGAAGAGGTGTTTTGCTCCAAGACACAATGGATAGATTCTTCAAAGAGGAAAGTGCAACAGACAGGGGAACACTCTTTCAGTTGAAACAGGAGTTTGGTCATCAGTCAGTCAAAAGGAACGTCATGGAAAACTTCAATCATGTGGAAGATCTTATTCAGTTCTGCACACGTGCATTCAGCATAATGCTAGCACTCAAGCTTATCCAAGAAGAAGATATCCCTGAACCTTTTCCATCCTCAGGAGCTGCCTCTCATCAGAAGGTATGGCTCACGAAATTCATCTGGAAAATCGTAGATTTTGTTTGGCCTGATATCCCAAGTGAAGACATGAACAAAGCATGTGAGCAACAAGGAGCAGGCGCCACACTTGGTTTTAATGGCCATAATGGTGATGTGGAAAATGCCATCAATGATGATGCCTGTAAGTGTGGTGAATCAACAGGAGAAGGAATGATCAGATGTTCCAACAGGGAATGTGGTTGGTTTCACTACTCTTGTGCAAATGTTGATGGTCCCGTGGAAGGTGATTGGTGGTGTTCAGCAGAGTGCCAGGCTTCCAAGTCCTCCGTATATTGTAAATGCCATAAAAAGACAGAAAAGGAAGAGGTTATGATCCAGTGTGAGTTGCAAAGACATTGTTCTTTCAACGAATGGTATCATCTTGAGTGCGTAGGACTAGGAGGGGCTGAAGATTTCCCAGATGAGTGGTATTGTTCTCCTGAATGTGAACAACGAGGTTTAGACAAATCAGCAAGTGACGGGGTCCAGGAATATTCCAGAGCCTTGTTATTTGAAGGTCTTTGCCATCTAGCCTTCCGTGATGCAGTATGGGAGGGTGATGGACCAGCCATCCTCAGCCACTGGAGGATCAACACCCTACAGTTTTGGAATAACAGTCATCTCAAATACTTTAACTTGGCACACAACATGCTGGCAGGAGTCAATGGATTTTATCCTGCCCGAGTTGCACATGACATGACCTGGAACAGAGTGGCTAATTTAACAGGTCAGGCAGATCACAACATTGGTCTGGATCTGGTGAAAGAAATTCCAACTGAAGACTACCAGGAAATGTTGTCTCAAGTGCAAGGTGTGAATCCAAAGCACCAGGGGGAACATTCCAGCAAACTGAGTGAGACGTTGTGTCGTGATCTAGATGACATCTTTTTGCAGTCTCGTTTTGGAATCCAGAAGCAGCGATCTGAGCAGGCACGACAGAAATTTGATCAGGACGTCCAGTGTTTTGCAGCTTCCTATACGGATGATGGCCTCTTTGATTTTGTTCCAGGCAGACATCACAAGTGCTTTCCATTTTTCAAGCACTCATTAGATGTGAAATCCCCACACATAATGGGTAAAAAGCTCCTGCAACTCAGTAAACTCATGGACATGGGCAGGGAATCTGTACAGTCATGGTCTGCTGCACATACATGATGATGTAATCAAGACAGTTTGGCTAAAGTCTCAAACTACTTTTCAAGTTTGTGACTAATAAGCAAGTTGGTTTTTGTTTGGTTTGTCTTTAAGTTTATGTAATGTAGTATTGAAAAACAGTTAAGAAAACTATCCCCATTTTATGCCTTTGTTTCACAGTGGTTGTTCAAGTGAAGATCAACAAGTCAAGATGTACAGTATTCTCTTGAAGGTGCAACTGCTGTGAATGATTTTGGCATTGTCGTCTCAACTGTTGTTGCAGCCGCCATGGTTATGGCTTGCATTATACTACCCGTGTAGATGCCATCTGAATTGTTAATGGTGCACTGACTTTGAAAGAACAAACTTTGATTATAACAAAAATTCCTGTAACCATATCCAAATTTGCAAAATTGTGCAAGCAACGAGCATGTTTTTTTAATTTACAGAACTGCAAATGGGTTCTTTTTAATGTTGTAAAATAGCGCAACCCTGTTTGGTATTGTCAGTTAACTCAATTGATCCACACTGGCCTCAGTAAATATGAATAATACAAACTGTTTGATGTGCAAATCCCCTTTTTTAAAAGAGGAAATTAACAGTAGCAGTGATTATAAGGGCAGTTGCATGTACAGCTTGAACGATTGTGGCTTATCTCCAGAGCAGTTTGAGGGTCAGGATGGATTTCTTTGTCAATCATGTAGATCAAAGCAGATACAAGATAAGAGACTCGCAAAAATGAGACCAGCCTGTAGCCATTTGGAACATCCAGTATGTTTGAAGTGCAAATCCCGTTTTAAAAAGCAAAAGAAAGGATATAAAAGACGCAGCTTGAAGTGTTTGAAGATATCCCCAGAGCAGTTTGGAGGGCAGGATGGGTATCTTTGTTTCACATGTGTACAAGTAAATAAAATGATGCCGCCAAGAATAACAGGCCCTCCAAAAGAACATGTACATGTACATGTAAATAAAATGAGGCCGCCAAGAACAACAGGCCCTCCAAAAGAACACGTACATGTACATGTACCGGTACAGTGGTCTTCCAAGAGATCACTCTCTCAAGTTAAGGAAAGGCCAGAAAAGAAAAAAAAGCGAGAACAGACAACAGACCTTAAAAGGTTAAAAATCGTGGTTTTAAGATCTATCCGCAAAAGCCATTATGATCCCATTTTTAGAGCGCTCCTGAAAATCAAATCGGCTAAAAAAGCTTGTCATCGGGTTTTGAATACAGAGGTCCGAAAGGAAATCAAAGCCTACCCCCGAACCCACTTGGCACAGACTGTGACTGCTAAGCATGTTGCCGATTTCAGTTGGGACGAAGTTGTTGATGAAGCTTCTTCCCACATGCCGATTCTTGTTAATGTCCTGAAAGCTGCCCTCCCAGATCCATCCAACCATACAACCACAGGGACATTCTGCGGTCATCTGTGCAGATCAATGCAACAGGCGTATTGTTTTCGTAACCAGCGCCTTGGGTTCATATTGTCGTTGATTTTCTATTCACTTAAGCCCCGGGCGTACAGTTTCATTCAAGGATGTGTTTCTCTGCAACTTTGGAAGCTGGGATGCAGCCAAAAGCTTAACGAATGTTTGCATGTTCTTGGTGTCTGCAAAGGACTTCATGGGACTGCAACCGCAGCAAATCACATACAGAAAGACCCCACCGAAACACAAAAGCAATGGCAGCGTGCACTGAGCAAGCAACTCGAGTCAAGTGCCGCAGCTGATGAGCATAGTGAGACCCGTGAGCCATCCCCTTGTAGTCAAGTACAGACGGGTGTTCTGAAATCGCCTGTTGTAGATGACATGGATGCTGATGTTTTTTCTGATATGACTGTATCTGTTGACAGCATCTCTGATAGTGATGCTGGGTCATCTTCTGAGGGGCAGGAGATTCCTGTAGCTGTGGATGATAGGAAAACCCACAAGCCGGCCCCTGGTAATGAAGTGCAGGCAGGTGTTTTGAATTCACCTGAAACAGATGATGTGGCTGATGATGCTGCTTCTGAGATGAGTGTATCGGCTGACGACAACTCTGATAATGACGCCGTGTCCTCGCCTTTTGCAGAATCTGCTTCAATTGTGGCAAACGTAGCTGATTTGACAAGTTCATCGGGCCGTAAACATGATTCAAGCATTGAGGCCACATCACATCACAGAAAAGATCAGGCATCTAAAGTAAAGCACATGCCTCAATTACAGTTACCACATAGACCTGATCCTGGGTATACCATAGTGTGTGACAATGTTTTGATGCAATCAGCTAAACGTAGAACTTCAAAGGAATTCACGTTACAGGCCTCGATCTTTGCTCTCAGGAACAGAGTTGCATTTGACCAAGAGATGGACTACACAGTGAAATGTGCAGAAGATATTCCCCTTTCTGATTTTCTTCCAACTTCTACTGACTGGTATTTCTTGAAGCACAGAATGTGCTTAATTCTGGAGCGCATTTTGAATGACCACTTTCCATTTTTGGAGACAGTTGAGTGCTCTGCTCCTGAGCAACACCAGCACAGTCATGCTATGAGTAAGAAAAGTGAAATTGTCAGTTTAGGTGTGATAGATCAAAACCCCTTCAGCACAGCAGGCTCCATTAGTATTCTTGAGTCACTTCATCAGTTTGTTCCATCGTACGGTGATGAGAACTTGTACCCAATTGTATGCTTTGGGGACGGGCTCTCTGTGGAGAAAATGGTGGATGCCAAACGTTCAAAAGCTGGTGGGGCTTCTGCAGCAGATAGGTTGGAGGGACTAGTGCAGTGTCCGCAAGACTTTCATCGGAGGGGTCTTTTGCTCCAAGACACGATGAATAGATTCTTCAAAGAGAAAAGTGCAACAGACAGGGGTACACTCTTTCAGCTGAAACAGGATTATGGCCATCAATCAGTCAAAAGAAATGTCATGGAAAACTTCAATCATGTGGAAGATCTGATTGTTTTCTGCACACGTGCATTCAGCATAATCCTGGCACTCAAGCTTGCTCATTTGGAAGGTGTCTCTGAGAGGCCTGGAGATTTTCCGTATGCAGGACCTGCCGTTGAGAAGAAGAAGTGGCTAGCACATTTCACTCGTAAAATGATAAATTTCATTTGGCCAGGTGTTCCAAGCATAGAAACAGACAAAGCATGTCGGTTAAAAAAGGCCTACGCCTCAACCCTTGGTTTTGCTGATCTTTATAGTGAAATGGCAAGTGCTGCCAATGATGATTGTTGCAAGTGTGGTGAATCAACTACAGAAGCAATGATCCGATGTTCCAACATCGAATGTGGTTGGTTCCACTACTCCTGTCAAAATGTTGATGGTCCTGTGGAAGGTGATTGGTGGTGTTCAAGGACCTGTGCAAAAAAAAATCAGGCTTCCAAGTCCTACAGGTATTGTAAATGCCATAAAAGGACAGGGAAGGAAGATGATATGATCCAGTGTGAGTTGCAGAGTCATTGTACTTTTTATGAATGGTATCATCCCGAATGCATAAACGTAGAAAATGCTGATGATTTACCAGATGAGTGGTATTGTTCTCCTGAATGTGAGCAAAAAGGGTTACACAAGCTGGCAAGTGACGGGGTCCAGGAATATTCCAGAGCCTTGTTATATGAGGGTCTTTGCCATCTAGCCTTCCGTGATGCAGTACTCGAGGGTGATGGACCAGCCATCCTCAGCCACTGGAAAATCAACACCCTGCAGTTTTGGAATAGCAAACATCTTGAGTATTTCATCTTGGCTCATAACATGCAGGCAGGTGTCAATGGGTTCTATCCAGCCCGAGTTGCACATGACATGACCTGGAACAGAGTGGCAAATTTAACAGGTCAGGCAGATGGCAATATTGGTCTGGATCTGGTGAAAGAACTTCCAACTGAAGACTACCACGAAATGTTGTCTCAAGTGCAAGGTGTGAATCCAAAGCACCAGGGGGAACATTCCAGCAAACTGAGTGATACGTTGTGTCGTGATCTAGATAACATCTTTCTGAAACTTCGGGGAGTCCCGACAACGCCATCTGAGCAGGAACGACAGAAATTTGATCAGGATATCCAGTGTTTTGCAGCGTCATATATAGATGATGGCCTCTTTGATTTTGTTCCAGGCAGACATCACAAGGGGTTCCCATTTTTCAAGCACTCATTTGATGTGGAATCTCCAGAAACAATGGGTGCAAAGCTCCTTGAACTCAGTAAAAGCATGGACATGAGTAGGGGATCTGTACAGTCATAACTTATTGAACATGCATGAATGTGTACAGCTGGGCATCATAAGACAGGTGATTCAGAAGAGTCTCAGAAGAGGTTACGCACCTGAAGGAAATGCATAAACAGTCAAGTAAATTGTACATATTTGTAAATCCATTCACAGATGCTCTTCCTTTAAAAAAAAGATCCTTACAAGCAACCTCCTTTTTGGAATATTACTTATGCTCTCCCTTTTAAAAAAATCTTTACAAGCAACCTCCTTTTTTAAATAAGAAGGTTGAAAAAAGGAGATCCGTGAGGAAAACATGTCACATTTTGCTGTTGTCCAGTGAAATTTGCAAGATGAAGGAACAAGGTCTGCAAGGTCTAACATCAAGTCACTGGTGTACCCTCCGTCAGTCTCGGATGTAAACATACATGTGTCGGTCTGTGAGGTACATCCAGATACTACTGGTATCTGGACAATAAGTGGAACCATTCAATGGTACATGTATGGGACGATTCATGTTTACAGTTACAGTTTGGCAGAAATTGAGAAGGAAAGATGCCCTGCTTAAGCTCTTGACTCAAGAGAGTCAACTTTCAAAGAACTACATGCACAGTGATCAGATCCTTCCTTTTGCCTCACAGTGTCTGAAACAAATGTTATTTTTGGTTGGTTTGAAGAATCTCAGAATATTCAAAATATCCCCAGCTTGACATGTTTGCATTTCCTGGCCGCTTCACAGTGAGCTTTCCCAGTCACTTCCTCTTCTGGAAAACTTTGTCATGTCTGGCAAGACTAGGTCCTGATGATACAACGTCAAAGTAACACGTGGCCATCCGTCCACTATGCCATTATTGCAGTAGACAGGAGTTCTGTAAGTAACACCACTGTGCATGCATTTCAAACTGGACAATCAGGCTTCTTTTTAAAATAAAATAGCTGTAAATTCTTTGCCATCTTCATAATGGTTAC